GTGGTTCAGCGGTAGGGGTTGATTCACGCTTAAGCAAGGTCAGAGGTTTGAATCTTGCTTTGTGTATGCAGTCGCGTTAAATCTTGGGGTCAGCTATCCCACAAAAAAAAAAGTAAAGACAATATGCCTTTTGGATATACATATTTTATTGACTATTTTGTAAATCATATACTTTTTTTTTTATATAAAAATATGTATTTATGTATGTCAATATTCTTTCACTTATCTTTCTTTTTGGAATAAACATTTTTACAAACTACACTTTTGAAAGTATTTTAATAATTTAAATTAGAATTTCTTAACTTGATTATTTAAAAAAAAATGATGCATATGATCATGTCAATATTATTTTCAACTAAAACACATCTCCAGCTATCTATCTGCAACATTAAACCCATGAATAAAATTAATAAATGGTATATTATACTGGCATGATTTTATTCATGTTATCATCACATGATCATATCATATCTTATGATATGACTAGAATGAGTTGATGACAACTAATAAAAAAATAAATTAAATTGAGGTTATATATATAACATGTTTACCAATTAATAATCAGTCTGTATACCTGATTGGCACATGAGACAAAATCAATTAATAAATTAGATAAAAAAAAAAAAAGAATAATTGTAATATTTAGAAATCTACATAATTGTGAAGGGATTGAAGCCAGAGGCTAAGTTAGATGGGAACGAGGGAGATGATAGTCCTTGTTTTGATCTTGCATGGCACGTGGGCGAGGCTATCTCATCATACATTGCACCAATGAATGGTCTCCACGTGTGAACAGGAGTGTTCACTTCACGTGACTTGCTGATGATTGAAGCCGGTGAGCCGAGCCGCCGAGCTGACAGCTCAAGGGGGTGTTTGGCAGAAGAATGCGCCAGCATACCATTAATTCAGATTTTGACATTCTGTCACAGACAAATCACTAGGCCCAATTTCAGGGCCCACTGGATAACTATGCAATTGCAATGGAGGTTTCCGATTCATACATTTCTTATTTACTGCACTTCACAAAAATATATAATTCTTAGAAAATAAATTATTATCACCATTAATCAGTTTATTAAATGGGGTGGGTTAACTTGAAAAAAATAATTTATTTACTTTTTTTTTCGAGTCTTTTAGAAAAAAAATTGTTCTAAATTTTACCTACATAATAAAGATGTGAGATTATCCGGGGTATTTGGTTTACTTCTTGATCCTCTTTATTATATACAACAGAGTAAGAGTAAGTTTTAATATTAACTAAAAAGTTGTCATGAAATTTGACCCAAACTTATTGAACATTAGGTGAAGAAGAAAGTCATGCTGTAAATCCCATTTTTAGAGTGTAAGATGATAAAGGAGGATCAAAGAGATAAAAAGAAAATGAGATAAAAAGAAAATGAAACCTATAAATAATTTATTATATTTTATGTAATATTAATATATATATTTTTATCATGTTAACTATTTAGAAATTATTATTAAATAACATTTTTTAAATAATTATTATAAAAATCAACAGATCATTCTATGAATGCATAAATTATTAATGATGAAAGATTGATTTAATATTTATGTAGTTATAAGTTTGAACTCTAATCCTTTCATTATATTTGTGACTGATAAAAAAAATTATATTTATTCATAAGTGTTACTTTGTTGATGAGAGTGAGATTTTTACTTAAATTATTTCTCGTAAAATCTATACCAACTCCATTTTCTTATTATTTTATCTCATATTTTTAATTAAAATTAAAATTTTACCTGATAATAAAAATGTTATATAAGAAGATGCAAGTCCTGTTATTATTAAATAATTCGACTTTTATTTTAAAAATAATTTAATTAAAATATGTATTAATAGTGTAATTCCTTTATATTATTATCTAATCATGAATTATATATATAAAGAATGATTTTGTAATAATTAATTTAAAATTTATATAAATATTTCTAATTAATTGATAATATGAAAATATTTATATCAACAGCAGTGTATCAAAATTAAGTCTTAAAAAATAATCTCTAACACATACAAAGTTAATTTGAATAAAAGACGGCTAAATTTCTATACATATAACTTGCGAAAATCAAAATATAAAAAAGGTTTATTTGTAGATTTATATACTCACGTAACTTCTATATATCATCATGCATGAATTAGTGTTTAAAATGTACTAAAATTGCTTAAATTTGAATTACACCCATCTAATTTCTATGTACAATACAATTTTTTTTCTTCTCCAAAGTAACGTAAACTTGACGCCACAAATAATAATTTAAATACGGTAATTATATATATTACTATAAAATAAAAGAATGACCTGACTCCAAGACGTGTATGTACTATGTTGCATATCTCTGACTCTTTTACTACATGTCTCTCTCAAATGAAGAAAATATTAGTTTGACATTCATAAACATGACTCGATCTGCACATAATGCAGGTGAAGAAAATTAAACAGTACAAGATGTGCTATGGGAACCCATTCACTGAGCTGGAAGATGTAATAATGGGGTGCATGTGAAGGAGCTATAGTGTTATGATCAGAACTCACTTCATCTACCTGTGAATACAAACCCAAATAAATCTAAACAATGAAACATAAACTATGATGTGATGAGACACATTTCAATACTCCCACTGCTAATCTGACTGCTGCCAACTAGTTTCTGTGCTCTGTGGCTCTCTCCACTTTCAGGTTTTATGCACAAAACAAACAATCCTACAAAAATATATTTCTAAGCCACGTCTTTTCATCTTTATCTATCTGCTTTTTTCTAATAATTTTTCAGCTGCACACGTATAATACTCTTACTTGTACATTGTTTGATTTTTACACAAAATTTTAGAACCCAATATATATTCTATTTTTGTTTACATATACCCTTTATATAATATTCTGTAAGATATTATATAAAATAATGATTTTGACATGAGTGGATAATTACTGTAAATGGTTGTGTACTTCAATAGTCATATTTTTTATAATAATTATTTTAAAAATAATACTATAAATTTTTATTGATTTTCAGTATTCTTAAAAATACATTTCAAATATAATTCAATTTTATAAAACTAATCTGTAAAGTTTAAGTAACTCTCATTTATATACATTATTTTAGTTACATCAATAATTGATATATAATCTTAAACATACTTTTTTATATTGCAGATTAAATATATCTGGAATATAAAGTTTATAGATTAAATATTTACAAATAGACTGATGACAGTTTGATAACATGTGTTATGAAAGATTTGATAACAATAACTAAAATATACTTCAATATTATATTAAGAACGTTGATTTTGAGTGATGTTTTACAGCATGTCTGTTAAACTATTATATAATTTACCATTTAAAATATTAATTATAGTATTTTCTGTATATTTACCAACTTATACGAATATGGAGGTAGAAAGTGAAAACATTGCAGGCTATGATTAAAACCATGATTAACAGAAAGCTTTTATAAAGATGGTATTACTGTGAAAAGATGCTTCACTTGCACTGCAGTTTTTACTAAGCAACTAAAAAGGGGTCAGAGCTTTCCGCACTTAAAAAGAATACAAAAAACAGGTATAGTTTACGATTAAATATTTGAGGATTCGAGTCATTTGACATTCAAAACACTTCTCTGAAATCTCATGCTCTGTGTCTGCAAAAACAGTCTTAACTTTAGACCCACCTAGCTGATCAAAAAGCATTATCCTTTTTCAAAACCCACTATATTGCTCTAGACTGTTAAAACCATATAATATAATAAAATAATTGCCTCTTCCTTTTTATTTTTCTCTTATATTCTTCATGTTCAAGTTCAAGGGCCTATTTATTATACAATTTCCTGACGTAATTGCTCAAGTACCAATATTTGTTTTATTATAAAAGCATGTACCTTTTGTTCTTCCTACCTATACAAGGTTCTCCACAACAAACACGCTGCACCGGTACTGGATTTCTTCAATGGTAGCTGAAGGTACAACCTTAACCTTATTGTCTCACTTTCTATTCTCTTTCCAGTTTGTTAAATGTATTTTTGCTATCTATCTTTTAAGGGGCAGAAAAAAAATTCTCTTTCTTCTTCTTCTTCTTCAACTTGTACTTTCAGAATTTAGCACTGCATAAAATTCAGTTTCTCAATCTGACCTAACCCTTTTGTTCCTTTCGTTCCCACCCTCACAGTCATTGAATTTCAAGAAGGAAGTTAATGCTACAACTAGATTGTGCACAACCTTGGTATAAAAGCTGGGTTTTTTCCTCTGTTTTGTTGCTAACATTGAAGACTCTTAAACAATTAAGGATTCTAATAATCCTATTGGCTCTTGGGTTAGTGTTTTTGTTCCGGAAGGAGTTGATCTGCAAGTGGTAACTGGTAAGGTCTTCAACTCAATTTTTATTTTTGTACTCTATGTATTTGAGGTATGCTTATTTCATCTCATATATTATAATTATTATTGTCTTTCAACATGATAGGTAACAAGGATCACTTTCTCCTACAAGATTTCTCTAGTTTCATTTCATAAAAAAATTACAATTATCTATGGATGGTTTGAGTTGGGATGCCTCACAACTGTGGAGTACTATTCAGCAACCACCAGACTTTGAAGGAGGCTACTCCATGCCCAATGTTCTAAACCAAATACAAGAGATGCAGAAGGCTCAAACAGGTCATGCACACTCAAATTCTGAAAGAGTGATTTATCATTCAGCAGGTGCTACCACTTCTTCAGAGATAATGGATGTGATGCAAAAGCAAAACACAAATCTGTCACAGCATGTGTCAACCATGCCAGTGAAATCAGGAGCTGGTGCCAGTTGGGGAGAAACTTTGAAATCCCAATCATACCCATCCCTATCAATCAATGGACCTCATCACAGTATGAACCTAATTAGCAACTACATGCCAGATTTCAACATGGCCCACCACCGCCAACAACAACAACAACTTGTCAATGGCTCACAAAATGGGAAGGGTGCTTGCTCTATTGATTCTTTTGATCATTGCTTGCTTTCAGCTACTAACAGCAACACAGACAATTCTGTTGAAGATGATGGGATTTCAATGATCTTGTCTGACTGTGGAAACTTGTGGAAGTTCAGTTATGGCAGTGCAGCTTCCACTGGTGAATCTGAGAGTAATGCTTCCAATGGTAGAAACAACAAAGACATGCAGTGTTCAGTCAATGAAGTTGATGAAACAGTTTCTCAAAGCACCTTGGGTAGAGGAAAAAGAGTAGAGTCAAAGACTAATTGTTCAAAGAGTAGTCATGATCAATCTGAAATGATCAAAGTTGGTGCCACTGCTAGTGATTCCTGCTTCAGTATGGTTCAGAATCCTTCTTCTATTGAAGAAGGTGGTTTCAGACTTATCTCAGACGATCCACCACAATGCAAGAAACCCAGATGGGATAGGAGTTCCTTTTCAAATAGTATCAATTTCCAGCAACCAACTTGTTCTATTGAAGAACCTGATCCAGAGGCTATTGCACAGATGAAGGAAATGATATATAGGGCTGCTGCCTTTAGGCCTGTGAACTTTGGCATGGAGGTGGTTGAAAAGCCTAAGAGGAAGAATGTGAGGATATCATCTGATCCACAAACTGTGGCTGCAAGGCACAGAAGAGAGAAAATAAGTGAGAGGATTAGGGTTTTGCAAAAGCTTGTGCCTGGCGGAAGCAAGATGGACACAGCATCAATGCTTGATGAGGCTGCAAACTACCTCAAGTTTCTCAGGTCACAGGTCAAGGCACTAGAAAGTCTAGGCAACAAAGTTGATGCAATGAATTGTCCTCCTACTAGCATTGCATTCTCTTTCAACCCTTCTTTTCCCATGCATCCTCTCAGTCACATCCATCATTCCCAGGGTTGAAGTGGTTACTATCATGACCTCTAATCATTTTGTTACCAATCACAATGATTAACATATCTGATCTTTATTTTCTAGCCAAAGCTGCAGGAAAATTCTAATTGTTGACTTGTATCTTTGTATTGTAGTAATTGTCTTCGTGAGTATAATCATCAGCTACTTGTTTAGAATTATCTTAATGATGATATTCTCTGGTTTCTATCATAATTAATCAGCTGCACCACCACCATCCATGCACGACCAAATACAGTTTTCTTTTTTCCTATTTTCTTTTGGTACACTATTCATGATGTTACCACTGTCACTGCATTTTCATTGATCGAAAGTGCGGTTAACTGATTACCACCAACTAGTGAAAATTATGGAAATAAACTAGAAAAACGTAAAAGATTTTTATACTATTCTCTGACCACAAATTATCATGCATTGTACTACTTTAATATCGTAGTTAAACTCAATGAATTAACTCACCTTTTAGCATGCAGAAAGGCCTAGCAATTATAGCAGCCTATTATTGAGATAAAGGGCTAGAGAAAGTGATTGGCACTTTAAGTTTGTGTTTATATAATATATAGTTTAAGGAGCATTTTTCTTGGAGAGCCTTTAACAAGATATTTTAATTGATGTGCTTTGTTGGCTAACCAATGCACGAGACATTCTCTTAGGATTAGTGAGCATAGTCAGTGGTCCTGTCTCCTTGATTCGACCCAACGCGTGCTCTTGAAACTCACTCCAAACGCATTGCTCACCACGTGCATATTCTTCTTTTTAGCACAAGTGTTTGTCACAAGCAATATACATATAAAAGCTCTCTGTCTTATTTAAAAGTGTATCAATTTTCTCATATATTAATTAATGTGGCTAATGATATCGTTAATGATGATGATTATGACAAGGACGGCTACGACGAAACGTGATGTGAGTCTTGTGCTATTGTCATCAAACAGGGTTATTTTACTTCGCTCAAATATCTTCATTAAGCACGTCTTTGAGTTTGAGGCTACTGTTACTGTATATGCATGTGGAATTTCCAGTTCAAAATGAAGCCTTCTCCTTAAATATCTCTTTTGTTTAAGAAACATTTCTACTTTTTGTTCACTTCTGATTACGAACACAAAACCCAATTCTTCCACTAATTCTTTTTTTTATTTTTGTCTTAACAGTTAACACCTCTACAATTTTGTTAAATGAATCTTTATGTTGCCTAGAACAATTTTACACACATATAATTCATGTAAGTTAAAGTCGATTAAACTATTGCACATGGGCCTAAAATAATGTAACATGGCTTTGAATTGTTTATACGATCGCAATTGGGCCGTACAATATTGCATTTTTTTAATGTCTTTGGTTGTAATTAGAAATTTGTCTATACCTTTTCATAATATTGCTGATCAATAAATGCAGCTGTAATTGAAACCCATGGAATGTAATTTATTTTAATTATATTATTGATATAAAGTATTTATCAATTTTACTAATGTCTAATATTTTAAAAACGTGACTGATTACTTTTTATGAAATTTTTATCACATATTTTGTCTATAAATATTTCTCAAGAAGAATGAATTCAATTTCATTCGGATAACATTCATGAATATAGTTAAACTTTCTTATAACATATAGGATGCGTTAGTTAATTTCATATGCACTTCAAATAGTTAATGTATGTCAAAAACATAATTAATACTCAAGATATTATTTCCTACGGCTTAACCTAAGTAATTGGAGAATCTAGTGTGTCATGAAGAATTTGAGGGAACTTTTTTCTGCCTTTATATGTGGTACAATGCATAAGTCATAACCATCAAATCACAAGTTGAAGCCAATCAACATGATCAACGAAAATCAACTGGGTTTTCAAATACCGTGGGTTCGGCTCTTGCTTGTTCCCATTCATTTTTTGTTTAGACAAATTGCGAGTGAAGGTTGATAATTGGGGGAAAGGTTGGCCATGGTTGAATCAAAAGGGGTTATAGTTCCTTGCTAAATTTGGAAATTCTGTTGTGAAATGGATTGGTAGATCTTTTGCTTAGTCAACGTGATTTGATTTTATAATCAACAAATAACCAAATTCCGTCTTGGAAATGTGAATAGATAAAATTCTTTTGTAGGCTTTGACAAGTGGGAATGACAAAGACTTGATTGTGTTTAACAGACAGTTGTACATGTTGTAGCTGTTGATTCTCCGCCTTGGTTAGATATATCTGATTCGAGTCTTTTTTCTTAATTAGGGATGATAAATAAACTTGAACCCGTCCCATGAGTAATACCCGAATCCGTCCTAATTTTGATGGAAAATACCTGATTTGACCGGGTATGAATACAAGTACGGGTAAAACCCGATAAATTAAACCGGGTACGGGTACGAGTATGGGTATATACATACCTGCTCCGTACCCGTACCCATACCTGTACCCGATTAATTATATTTAAAAATTTAATATTTTAATATATGTAATTATTTATTATAATGCAAAATATTTATAATTGTGTAATTATTAAGAAATCTCTTGATTAAAATATGAGATAAAAAAATAATCTAATTATAATTATAATATAATAGAAAAATAATTTAAAAATATTATATATTTTTTTGCAAAAAATAAAATAAAAATTTACGAGTACGGGTATACTCGATATCCGACGGGAACAGAGATGAGGATGAAAATCACATACCCGACGGGTACGAGTACAAGTACGAGGATGAGTTTGTGTCGCGGGGACGGGGACGTTCATCATAAAACTCGTACCCGATTCGCCCTGTTGCCATCCCTATTCTTAATTAGTTAACGAAGATAAACTAAATTAAAATTAAATCTATATATTTTTTTTCTGTACACATTTTTTTAATATAATTTTAATCATTTATAAAAACTACATTAATAGCATGATAATAATTAATAAAGACAAAAAAATATTTTTGTATAGAAGTTTTATACTTAAAACTAATTGCAACTACACACCATCCCTACCATGTGTGTACTTAAAGAAGACACCACAAAAATACAAATGTCTTCTTTTTTACTAGTAATTGTAAAGATAATTATTTAAAAAGTTATCCATATGATTGTAGTTCCATGTTCAACTAGAAAATGAGTTTAGATCCTTGATTAAAAAAATAAAAATATTTAATTATTTGTACTAACAATACTAAGGAAATAAGTAAGATTTTAAATTAGTGATCATATTAAAAATTAATAACAAGAGACTAAATAATAATGACTTATAAATAAACTTCACAAGTAGATCTTTATAAGTTCGCGCCAAGTCTTTGTCCAAGAAAATAAAAAAGAAATTTTTTTTATAACTTTGTATTATTTCTTTACTTAATTATTTTTTTTGAAGAATTTTTTTTAAATAAAATTAAAAAAAAAGTTACAACAATCAATTCAAACAATTTTTTATATCATTATTTTTTTTATCCTTAAGAATTAAACTCAAATAGGATAACAATGAACTGAATTAATTTAAAAATAGTTTAAAATTTGATTTAATAATTAACTTATTGAATTGAGGTCATAAATCAAATGAGTTAAATTCTTGACAAAAATTGAGTTCGATAAATAAATGAGTTAAATTTAAATTTTATATAGTTTAGTTTGTTTAATTCATGAATTGACTCAACATATAAATATACAATTTATATAATTATTTTTTTATTTAATTTCAGCTTATTAAAATTTTTAAAAAAACTTTCAAAACTTAGTTATAAATTAATAATAGTAAAAGAAGTAAGCAATTTAAAATTTCATGGTTATGGATTAGGTTTTCTATTATTTTATGTAAAGTGAAATTATTTTAATTTATATAGATTTTAGTCATAATCATGTTTCTTTAGAGTTGTACCTCGTAATCTTAGAAAATTAATAAAATAAATTATGTTTTATCTTTTTTTAAAAAAAATAAATAATCATTTTATCTAAAATCTATTATTAAATTAAAATTTTGAAATGTATTAGATTAAAAAATTGAGTCTTGATTCATGAACCAAGCTGTTAGCAATAGTTAAACTGAGTTAAATTCAAATTAAAAAAAGGTTAAAGTCGAATTTGAATTGAGTTATGAGCTCAATCAAAGTCAAGTCAAATTGATTAATATTAACTTAACTCGACTCATTTTTAGTTCTAAACTTAACAAACTAAAGTATATTTTCTTAATTTTTTTTTATTATCACTGCTGTAACATTTTTTATCAACTTAAATCTCAACAAAAAGAATCAATTTAAAATGTCAATATCCAATAAAAACATCTTATAATTACTTTGGTGATGATATGATCTAAAAATTTATAGTCAACTATTTTTATTTAATTATATAATGATATTTAGTTTGGTCAAAGAAATTAATAATATTTTTTTAATCCAATAATAATAATATATAAAATAAAAAAATATTTTCAAAATATAAGATAATTTATAACTAATAAAAGATCACAAACACACGAGCCAATACTTCAAGACAAGAACAGTGCATAGTGTAAATTAAAAATTATCTTATGATTTTGTACTGCATTATTTTTAATAAATTTTTTGCATAGCATACAATTAATATTTATTTTTTCTTGTAACCTTTTTTTACCTTTCTAAAGAGCTAAGTCCACTGATGGAACCCATGGAGAAAATTTGAATGGATCCACTGGACGTACTCTCAAGTTTCCCCATGGGCAAACACTGTTTTAATTCCATCACCACTTCATTCATTCTTGGCCTATTAACAGAATTAGGAGCTACACAAGCCATTGCTACATCCACCACTTTCCTTGCATCATCACTGTCATACTCTCCTTCTAACCTTGCATCCATAATGCTATCAATTTCATCATCATCATCCACCATGGATTTTACCTACTGAATTATGTGAGTTCTCTCAGGGCTTTTCAATATTGCGGCTCTCCCCGTCATTATCTCTAGCAGATCAACCCCAAAGCTAAATACATCACTTTTTTCATTCAGCCTATTTGTTATGTTGTATCTGCATCACAACAATCACTTATAAGTTTGCTTTTTCATATAATTTAGTAGTCACAATCTTTTATAATAAATTGCAGGAAAAATATATATCATAGGTTAATATTTTTCTTTAACCACAATTAAAATTTTATCTTAATAATATATGTAATTCATCTTAGTAATATGTGTAAATATATATTACCAGATCTGCGCATAAAATGTTGTTGAGATTCATCCCAAGTCCCACATCGGTAAAATGAAGGAACATTGGCTAGCTTATAAGGGTGTCCACCA